AATCGAACATTATTAACTTGTTTGGCATTTCAGAGATAAATGCAAGAGGGATATATCTGGGGTGCTCAGATGAGTGTCGGATCCCACCTAACGCTCTAAAACGTCAGCACGAGAACCACCAGTGAGATCTCGTCACTCTCATTCGAGATTTTTTTTGTTTCAGGATAATGAGTTCATTTGATCTTGGATTTAATGAATTCATTTAAATTAAAAAATACTAAGATGATTGTTTACATTGGTATTCTCTTAAAAGTTTCATTCCTCATGCTTACCGACACTCCCTTGGCATGGCCAAGTGAAGAGACTGGACGCTTGACGCGTAGCTAGTTGAAATCTTAAAAATAAAAAACGTTGGCTGTTCGAATGTATTCTCAGAGGGGGCGAAACTTGTGGCGGCATTGTTTTTCACATTGCCCGATGATAAAGAAAAAATGCCACGTGCAGTTCTGAGTATGACTGCTGTGTGCTTGGCACCATCGTGTGTGTTCTAATTGGCCGCATTGATCCATATGATTTAATATTATTGCGGAGGAAGCCTCGGGATACGATATCATGCAGGTGCGGCGGTATCTATACACAGCTTTCTCCTTCCATTTCCCCTCCGCACGTTTCGACTTCTGCGCAAATAATGGTAATATATGCTATAATCATTTATTACTTCCGGTTCTGATTATAAAAACTAATTAATTAATTTAAGAATATTAAAAAATAAGTTAAGTTAGTTATTTGTATATATATGTCTTGTTTTTTTATAATATCCTTATTAATCAAGTATATTGGTTAGAATTACCAAGAAAAACTACCTTAGAAAAAAATGTATAAATATAAAGATAAAATGAATTAAAATCTTATACTTAAAATCAAGATAAAAATCAAATAAGGTCATAGTATTTATAATGGCTGCGTGTTTTCCCTCCCACCTGCACACCTCACTTTTTAATTTATTTGCATGCACTAGAAAATGGTTATAAAAGCGTCTTTAAGTATTGAAATTAACATGATAGTATTAAAATAATATTTAGTTTTTAATATTATCTTTATCAATTAATGTTTTACCACATCTAATCATCGTCACAAGGGGGTATAAAAAAATGTATTTTTCTTTCTGAAAAAACTATTGGGCGAGGAGTAAAAGGAACTAAAGACCCTTTCTATTGTAACCCCCCCGGGAAAAAAAGGACACTTCCTGGGAAAGGGCGGCGTTTTTTTTTTTTTTTTTGGCTTGCCGACAGAAAAGTGCCACACAAATGTAAGACAGAAAAGTGCCACACAAATGTAAGATTATGGCGACGTGTATGTATATGGCTTTCTGAGCCCTTGCATGTTACATACTCCCTCCTTTTTCATTGCGAAGTGTATCTTTTTTTTGAAAAAAAATTATCGTGAAGTATATCTTTTTTTTTTTTTATAAGAGACATTTGTTTCAAAATTTACTTATTAATTTTACATTTTACCCTATTTAATTATTTATATTACTCATATCATTATATTTAATTCCCACACATAATATCTTTTCCCCATAAATGAGGATATTTTTGACAAAAAGGTTTTATTTTTTAGGCATTTATTATTATCAACATTTTGAACAATATAATTTGGATAATTATCTCTTATAAAAAGGAATGGATGGAGTAACATACCCTTTGTTAATTCTGGTTTAATCATTTAATCATGTTGAATCGAATACACAAAATTCAAACTAGATATGCCTCGGATTATCTTTCTCTCATCTCGCATCCACATAAATAAACACATGTACTTGTAAACTTAGAATTTATTTAAAATTGTGATCGAAACATCAATTATGATTAAAATATATGAAGTAAGCATCTTTTTAATATTAATAAATGATTGTATAATCAATATTCAATACCACATCACAATAGTATAAATTAGGATACATATATTTTTTTTTCGAGTAAAAAATTAGGGTGCGTGTCATTTCTTTAAATTTTTTGGAGTTCGCTGTGTCTGCCTAAAATCCAAACTTTAATGCCCCTATAATAGGGTTTTTTCCGGTGTTCAGATAAATTAATGTTATACAGTTACCCCCTGAAAAAAACGCACGCAACTATTTTATGAGTTGAAATTAACGTTACCATAAATGTTGGATCCTAGATTATCTTTCAGCTAGGGTTGCACATAGACAGGGCTAGGCAGGGCAGGACCCTTGCCCGATGTCCAGCCCGAAAAATGAACGGGCTGAAAAATGCAGCCATTGCCCGGTCCTGTCCATGAAAAGCCCTAGTAAGTTTGGGCAGGATAAATGCGGGCTGGGCTGGGCGGGCTTCCATGCCCAGAAAATCAATATACTATATTATTTAACTAGTTATTTATGTTCTTCTAGATAATAAAATGTAACTTTATATTAAAATGGTAACTTGATTTTAATTTAGTTATTAGCAATTGATATATTATGAAACAACATTTTATAGTTGCTAAGAGGAGTAAACTATGAAAAACAAAAATGTTATTAGTATACTTTATTAAACTTGATTGCTTTTCTAGTTTTTAAAATTTCTTAACCAAATGTAAATATTTTTCCCCCCATAACTCCTAGATACTCATAAGAGCCTGAATCAATTATACAAATTGCTAATAGTCATAATGTTTGCATTAAAAAAGAGAATGGTTATACAAATTGCAGTAATGATAATAAGTTTACTTTCAAAATCATTTGAAAATAAATAAGTATAATGAATATTGAATGTTAATTTAACAGAGTGTTTGATCCAAGAGATAAATATAAAACAAATAAAATATATAAATAAAATTATATATATTGTTGTGGGTAGGGCCAAATGGGCAGGGCAGCATACTGTGCCCGATGCCCAGCCCTGCCCGACAATATGTCTAGCCTGAATATGCCCAATATATCTTTTGGACCATTTTTTTTAGGATGGACTGGATATTTTTGCGGGTTTGAGCGGGTATAACGGGCTACTGGGCTTCTTGAACACCCTTACTTTCAGCTGAATGTGGAAATGAAGGCAGTTCCCTGTTATGATTTCTGATTGCTCAGCTCTGAAAGGGGCAGGATTGGGATGTCCCAGCCAATTAGGACATGCCAGCACCGGAAGACCGCCACAAGCGTTTCGCTAGAAAGGGGAGTCCACGGAGTTCTCCAATCCCGCCAATCAGAATCTCTGGAAATGCATGCCTCGAGATTTGTGAGCCAAACCAACAGTTTTGTTGACGGCTTGGAACCGATCCTACGCCACGCAGCAATCAGCATGGTCTCGGGCGCAAACACGCGCCCTCTCGCGGCGGCCTTAGAGAAGCTTCATGGGCACGCTTCTTTCCTCGGCATTTCCATACAAAGCCCCTCCTCAGCCCTCACAGTCTCACACTCCTCTCCTCTCGCTCTGTTTCTTGTTTCCCAAAACCCTAATAATCTCTCCAATTCATGGAAGAGCCTCAATGCTCCAGAGCCATTTTGCCTGCCTCACTCCCACCCGGTTGCCGTTTCTATCCTTCTGAAGAGCAGCTCCTCTGTTACTATTTATCCAACAAGAACGCCGGCGGTAATTTCCATGGTTGCGATCTGATCAGGGAGATTGACCTGTACGATTACGATCCTTCCCGATTGCCTGAAATCGCGTGCTTTTCCTATGGTTATCGAGGAAGGAAGAGGCATTGGTACTGTTATACTGCCAGGGTTTTGAAGGGTGCTAGAGGGAAGACTAGGATGGTCAAGACCGGGTATTGGATGAGAAAGGGAGGGGCTAGGAATGTTTTGAATGGCGGTGGGAATGTTGTCCTGGGCACCAGGACCACTTTCGTTTTCTATCTGGGGAGTTCCTCCAAGAACGCTAGCAGGACGAATTGGATGTTGTATGAGTATGCATTAGTTGATCATCTTAAGGTACATGATTTGGACTCATTCTTGGACTTTCCATGCCTCCCTTTGTTCGTGGAGTTTTTTCAATTGAGCTCGACATTACGACTAAAGAATTGCTTACGAAGGTCTCGATTTAATGCTGCGTCTTCGGACGCTATCTAGTTTTGAGTTTATCGCTCGGTTACTCTGTTACTGGATCGGGGATAGGAAAGTGGTCAATTTTCTATTCTCTTCTTATAATTATTTTGATACCATCCATGTGCAATGTCATGGGTAATCTGAAAATCATTGAGAAATTATGAATTGGATTCCTGTCTGAGTATGCACTTACGAAATCGTGTTTGCAGTTTTGTTCTGCGGAACAATTTAATGTATTTCTTGCTGCTGTTAATAATTGAGTTCAATTGTCGCGCTTCATTTTTTGAAAGTTAAAAATTTGGGATTTTCTTGTGATTTTCTCCCTTAATAAACTGTCAACTTCGAAAGCTTCAATTTTTCGGTAATTCAACGGACGAAAGAGAAAATTGTACTTAAGTGACCCTTCCTTGTGTGTGTTATTGGAAGGCACTTAGTATACTTTTTGAGTTATAATTCTTTTGTTTGGTGGCATTTCCCAGATTATAAACCCATAATTTAAGCCTGTTTGTGTTTGTCGAACTCCGAAGTTCATAATTTTGGAGTTAGCACACTATCTTCTATTTGTCTGGCAATCTCTTTTTCTACGCCTTCTGTCTTGAAGCAATTTAGTTACTTCATGTTCTAATCATTACCTTGTGGAAGAGACAAAATTGCTTTCATGTTAAGGTTCCTGGTATTTTCTGTTTGTATTAAGAATTGACATACTTCCTGTATTACTTTAGTTATATTTTTCTCTGATTCCCTCATATCTTTATTTCTCATGCAGGCCTCATTTGTTATTTGTCGAGTGTTTTCTAAAGCATGTCATAAGAATAGTGTGTCAGAGAATGGTATTTGTTCTTGTGCAGAGGAAAGTTTCTCGGCTATACGTCACATCGGCATTCAGCATGATGGATATGTTCCACCTGATATGGTTGAGACTCAAATGCGTGGCGATGGCTCCATTGATAGAAAGATTCCAGTGTCTCCCTTAACACCTCCTAGTGAACTAGATGACAATCAAATTGCGGCTGCATCAGCTTCTGTTGCTACTTTCCAGTGTTGTGCAGGTCCTCAAGACAGTCAAACGGTAATATATATATATATATATATATATATTCATCTTTGCTTTTGCTCTGTTATCTTTATGCTTGTTCTAATATGTGACTTAGGAAAAGAACTATTTTCTTTCTTGTTTATGTACTTGTATTATATTCAGTTTTTATTCTCAAGCTGGGTGTACACACCGGATTTACTGCTGTGAAGTACTTTTTTAATGTAGCTAGCGTTTCGGTTGAACTCATATAGTTCCTTAGCAGTTATTTATTTTTTGTTGTTATTTTTTCCCAAATGTCGATAACAAACGTCTGCATCAGTATGATCTGCATTGTTTGGTCAGAATTAGGGGCTATTGGTGCTGGAAGTCGGTAAATGATTTTTCACATCACTTCTGTGAAGTTACATTTTCACGAAAGAAATGGACAAAATTATATAATGTGGCGGCATTTCTTAGCATCGCATGCTTTTTGGTTGAAGCGTGTCACTGAAACATCATACTTGAATTTCTGGTGCGTGGCATGTCACTGGAAATTCAACTGTGCGAAATTATGCTTTGGAAAATTGGAAATATATAAACGTGTATTTAGTACAATTTTATTTATTATATTTGTCCCTTAGTAAGTTCACATTTGTACTAATAGATAAGTAATCTTTTAAATGGGGAAATCAAGATCACTGTTTAGCAGATATTTCTCGTGTTGACGTGGCAGCTTGGCTGAAGTACGTCCCTGTTTTTGGGCTTTAGATAGCCATTATGTCAATACATCTTATGCATGACACAGTTCTTGATCGTTAACGTAAAAACTAGTGTCATATTTTGTAATTTATTTTTCCTCATGTTTTCCTTTTGCCTATGCTTGTTAGCAGGAAAATGTTTCTGGACTTCCTGGTGGTGGTGCAATATTTGTTGGGGAATTGGCATCTCAGCAAGATTTGCTTTCGATTCTAGAGGAGGATTTCATTGAGTTGGATGATCTAGCTTGATTTAGCTGATTGGGAAAGATAAGTGAATATTAGTCCTAATCTCACGATACATATGATCTGAAACAGCTGTATTTAGTATGGGTTAACAATCCTGCAAATACACAAGGGTTTAGAATATTAAGTAACCCTTATTTCCCTATACAATGGAGAAGCATAATTTTAAATGAGGTTGCAGCAAATGAAGTGGAAGGGTCACTTCACTTGTTAAGATAGCATGTTGATAGATCAATAGATGATTGTAAATACGCCACCGAACCCATCATGAGGAGTTAATCAGCAGATCTTTAGTTTGGGCATGCAATTTTTTGTTTTCGAGATATCTAATGGAAGGCAATTGCTCTGGAAGATTACATTTAGAGTTTGATATTTTTAGCTTCGTTAAATGAGACATGCAAAAGTTTACACTAGTAGGAGAGGAATGTAAAACAGTCTACCGATTGCCTCATAAGAAGACTTCATTCTTGTAAGCCTAGTGAAAGGCCATGTGCTTAGAGATTGATATACTTGGCTTTGATAAATGGAACTTACAAGCTTCTACACTGGTATAAGCAGAATAAGTGCAATGTACGAAGTGTCTTGCGGGAAGACTTGTTTCCTTCTAGCTTATTGTGTTTGCTGTTTCACATCTTTTCATGTGCAGAGGCAATATCAGGTTACTATCAGTTATGGATCTCCACAAGTGTTAAAATACAATATCTCGTTATGTTAAAATATGATATCTTATTTGCTACCTGAAAATTTGTTCGCTACTTCAAATTGGTTGAGTTCTTTTATACTCATAATACTAGGTAATAGATTAGGTAGCTTGAACGTAACAAAATACCGGGAAAAGATCCTCTAAAGAACAGGGTGCATCTTAGAAAGATGGATAGAAACGCACAGAGTTGATCATTGTTGATGATAAAACTAATGGTTTCAAATTTTATAAATCAGGAACAACCTAATAGCAATATATGGATATATGAAAATCAACTCCCCTGATTTGCTTGCCAAAGGCTACTAGGTGCACTTCAATCACATTTTAGAGGAGCCTGATGCCAGAATATATTGACTGCTATGTAATACTTGGTGTGTGTTGACAGCATCTGGTTTTTATCAGGATCAATTATGTCTTTAAACACAGGTTATATCTAATTATTTACATATTATTGGTCTGTTATTTGGTGTTACCAAAATCGTGTTTTGCACAGTTGGTGCCGTAAAGTTTTTGCCTGCTCACTGCAGCATGTGGTTGACATCATTTTCAGGATAAAAAATTCCTGAGATCCGTCTGCATGTAGTGTTTTTTCAATTCTAAAGACATTTCTGAACAGTTGTGTTTACTTTTGTTCTTAAAATTTGGGGAAATGTCGATATCTTGGACAGAGTTAAACAAGTTATTTGAGATTGTTGTTTTACTTGGCTGTGAAAGTTCAAATTTTGACTCATCTATTCTTTCTCTTCCTTAATTATGATTCTATTAGGGTGGCTGATGCCTCGTTGCTGGACAGCCATGATAGCTGCTGGAGTTTCCTCTTCTCAAATAAATTAAGAAAAAATCTTAAATAGAGTCTAGACTTTTATTTAAGGCATCGTGTCCCTTTTTTTTTTTTTTTTCCCCAACTGTATCATTGAATAGGTTAATGATGACTGATCTATGGTTGGTGTTTGTGGTGCTGGCTAATAAATACTTTCTAACTCGTCTACGTTCCATTGAAGTGTAAGCTTGGTATTGATACATCAGCTTCCGAATAAAGATGCTTGACCTGATAGGAATTCCAACTTTGTGTAATGACGGTTTTTTACTTTTTTCTCCTGGGTTTCTGGGTATAGACTTAGAGAGTGTGACGATGTTATCATAGTTTAAGCTTGCCCGAAATCAACTTTTTGTGCCAGCTTGATCATCTCGTTAGTGGTGTAACAAAGCTTGAAAAGATACAGAGTTGTTATCCTCGGGAGTCTTCTTGTGGTTGTGTTATACACACCGTGATTTATGTCTCTTGCTCCGTTTGCCTCTAGTTTGAACAGGGATTGGTTAGTGACATCAGAATTCACATTCATAAAAAAGCCTCAACAGGGTTTGCAGTGGCGAGTGCTTTTTCAGCTAATTTGAGTGGATAGCATTGGTCCTTTGATTCTCCCTTGCTTTCCAATGTTAACGTGTCAACGTGTGAACACTTATTATCTCATGATTTATGACTCATATAATGCAGCACCAATTTCGCAACTAACTTTACTAGTGGGTGGTCTTATTTCACAATTGGATCAGGGTGCGTTGTTTCTCTGGTGTGTAGGCGTATGTGCATCAGTTTGGCCCGTGAGGCGTAACAGTCGATTATAATTCAATTTAATGCACCTTGTGACGGCAACAGAGTGTGGTGGATGCAGGGCAAAAGGTAGCTCCATGTCCCATCCCCTGCACCCGAAGCATGTGCATACTCTTTCGCTGCACATGCCACTTATTTATCGCTGCTTAGCTCATGCTTTCCCCTTTTAGCGCTTGTAAAATCTGCTTCCTTTGAATGCCTTACCGCGCTGTTCACCAACTATTAATGCCTTGCTCCATTACTCCACTCTCCACCCTCTTTTGCTGACGCAACTGCAAAATATATCGGTTTCGTAAAGCACCGGCGAAATTATTAGTACTACTACTACTGTTACATTTTCCCAGTGCCTGCCAACCGAACCAGGAGGATATATATAAATATACATCTGCTTTGTGACCTCAAAAACTGATTGTGAGGATTCAAAGCCATTATATGTTTTCTTGTATGCAAGAGCTAAGAGGTCATAAATTCAATCTCTCCTGTAACTTTAATCCGTTAGTGTCTGCTTTTTTAATTTAAAAATAAATAAGTGTGAGAAGTGGACGGGATCACTTTTCTGAGAACCGAACTGGACCGATTGCTTTGATTCATTCAGCTGCCTGACGTCTGGTTTAATACGGGGAAAATCAAAGGGCTGGAAAATCGGTCGAACCGACCTCGAAATTGTATGATCATCACTGTGGATAAAGAATGTGTCGTGCCTATAGAGAGACATTGTCCTTTTTTCCTTTGATCATATACTCTCTTCAGATAATATTCTTTTGTATTATTATAGATAAATATTTTCATTATTTTAAGCCATTATCTCAACTAGCATAATGATTATTTATATTTTTGCTAACATCTGATGTATACATATCACCGAATTATGGGTTATCCTTATTTTATGCTGGGATGATATTTGATACTCGATACTTATTTTTATTTTTATGGATGGGGGGGATCCTGCTGGTTTTCAAAGGAACTTGGTTCAGTTAATCTTGACCCCTCTATCTAACAGACTCCTTGGGAGACGGCAGGCAAAGTAATTAGCTTTTTTGACATTAAAAAAATCAACAAAAAATTTGGTGGAGAAAGGAAGCACAGAGATGGCCGAAATAGTTGAAGAAAGAATAAATAGTGAAAGATATATGGAAGCTTTAGCCGAAGAAGAACCTGCCTTTGTGTAACGTGTTTGGCCAATAAAAAGGAGACAACAGAATTGACAGTTGCCACTTGCGAGGTGAAGGCTATTGTATTGGATTCGTTGTTCACACCAAAAACTTAATGTGCAAAGTAGGTGGCCTCGTCGGTTCTTTCCCTTCACCCAAAAGTTACAAGAGCAATGACCGTTTGGTTATAGGCTGCACCTATAAACGCACTGACATGAAATATAGCCACCCTATCATGTACATGTTTTTGTCATTTCATTTCCTAACCCATAAATTATGGGTTCATCACAAAGAAAGAGTCCTTACATATAGTCAAAGATTCATACAAAGCGAGCGCGTATTCAAAAAGGATGGCAAATTCTGCTCACCAGGTCCGAGTCCTAATTATGATAGCTAATTCCACGTGTGTAGTAATCATCATATTGTTTTTCTGGTGGTAGCACATTAAACTAAACCGGACCTAAAGTCATGCCTCGCGACAAAAAGAAAGGCATGTGAACATGAATGTGATTTGAATGGCAAAGGCAAAGAGAGAAGTCAGGGGTGGTTGGCGTGAAGGGTATGGAAACGCAGGGTGTACTCCCTCTTTCTCTCTGCGCTGTCTCGTTAATGCTTTTACTTTGAGAGAGGGAAAGTAAAAACACGGAAGTAAGCGGCCAAACAGAAGCCTCCTGCCTGTGGCTTTTTCTCTTCAGCTCTGATCATCTCAGAGTGAAGTTAAAGTTAGATAGATTAGATTTTAATTATATTGGATCCTATTACTGATTCCATTTTTGTATCTAAATATCACGAATGAATACTTTCACACCTCAGGTAAGGTCTTGGATTTGATAGAAGTTTAAAATTAAATAACATCCACGTCACTCTTAAATAAAATGTCATATGCAAATTTTGTGAATAACATGTCAAATCTAAATTAATTGATAATGATAATATTATGGTGATTTGTTACCCAAAATAAACAAATTTAAATGAGCTCATCATTATCAGTACATGATAATTTCTCCACTTTCTTTAAAATAATTTTTTTGACCGTAGCTTAAAAAGATTACTGCCCCTATTTTAGTTCCCCTTCTATCTTTGTTTTTATATCTTCCACCAAGAGCCTCTGTCTTCTACCCCTTCCGTTTCTGTGGGGCTGTTCTTTGCCTCTTTCGTTCCCTCAAATAATTAATCAATAGAAATTTGCTATCTCTCGGACTCGGAGCATAGGCGAGCGCTTGCCTGCTTTTATTCCCGGAGTTTTCAGCCTCTGATTTTCCAATAGATCAGGATTTTTGATTTCATCTGGTAAGTTTTCAAGGCATTCCCCGAGTTCTTATTTTTGTTTTCATGGGCCTGTCGGTCGGTGATTTAGCAGGATTCAAGCTATATCAAGTTTGATTCTTCCTGTAGTTTTCGGTATTTTTAGGGTTTAATTAGACCATCTAGCGTTTCAAATTTTCTGGGGCTGTGTGGGTTGCTCTTGAGTCGTTCACGCCATATCCATAATCGGTTTTATAAATTGAACTTTGTGGGGTTTAGGACCGCCTGTTCAGCCTGGTCTTGAAAGGACTGAACTCAGTTG